GTGGAGTGGGTTTTGTTGATGGTGGTGGGTAATTTATTAATTACCTTCACTTTCTTTCTCCTACTTTGCTTAATTAACTATTCCTTTATTCACTAATCTATTATTATGAAATTTTGTCTTAGAATTCGTGTTAAGATGAAAGTTGCAACTAATATGTAACGGAGGTAGTAGAAAGAATTAGCTTGTTACTTCTGATGCGATAGCCTAATGTTAGAAAAAAGGTTCATGGACATGTTTTGTAAGCACAATTGAATTGCTATGAGAAAAAAAAAAAAATCCAAAGTTAGAGGCCTCTAGAGACCAAGAATTTCCCTCAAAACAGATTTGATGATTTGAATTTGACTACTGGTTGATGAATGGTCCTCGTTAAAAGATGGACCAGAGATCACGCTCCTTTTACTTTTCTGTACTTGGAATTTTAAGCCCTCGTACACACAACGTTTAAACTACTCTAGGATAGAATTCATTGTTGTTTCACTTGTTTGTATTACATTGAAATGTTATTTTAGTGAAGATTCCAGGAAAGATACAACTATGTCACTAGCAATGACATTGGTAATTTCTGTAAAAAAATTTGACATTGTTGATTTGTTAAGATAGTTTGATAAGGTTTTTTTTTTTTTTTATTTTTTATTTTTTTATTTTTTATTTTTATATATATATATATATATTTTTTTTTTTTTCTACCTCAATTAAATGTTATGTGCAATTTTGAAATATTATTTATAAAATATAAAATATTTCAAAGTTGCACATAATATTTAACGGAGGTAGTATATGGTAAGATACAGAGATGCCCCTTCTATCACAGCCATTCACAGGAGGGTTGGGGGTGAGGATCGAATCCTGGTCACACCAGGGGGAGGGGAGATGAAGGGACTAATCATCCCTCCACTCCTTGATAGTTTGATTAGATAGCGTGCATTGACTGTATGTTTTTTAATTATGCAAACTATTGTCTCCTTATAATTGAAAAAATATAGGTTCATGCTTGAATGATATATTTCTCTTTCCTATACAGTTTGCGTGATAGTCAAATCATTAAAATGGTGTTGTTTACTGTTTCACTGTGTTGAAAAAAAAAATGTAATTTTTCTTTAATATTGTTCTCTATTTTTTGATAAAAGAAAATATTGTAACTAGAGAAAGGCTGCATCAGTTTGAGAGAAAACAATGTACTGCAACATACCTCGTATAAGACAGTTGTTGCTAATTTCACATATGGTAGCTTTTGCAATCCCTAAGGATATAGTTTAAAAATGTTTCAAAGATAAATATGAGTTATCTATCATGGAAAGAAAATGAAAACTCCATATATCATGCTCAGAAGTTCGACAAAACAAAAGTAAAAATAACTAGAAATTAAACTGTAATGCTTGAGATTCTAAGTCTTCTAACATTGGCTAGTAATTTAATATGAGGGTTGGTAAGGAGGGTTTGGCACTTGGACAATGCCTTCAAGCATCTGTGTGACCTTTCTCATTGTTGGTCGTAGACGTGGGTCTTCCTGGATACACCAAAGAGAAACCATCACAAACCTCTCCAATTGCAACTTGTCATTGTGCACCTCCGTGTCATCACTGACCAGAGACTCTAGTGTGCTAAATTGATAGCAATCAAATGCCCAATCTGTCAGAATTTGCTTCTCTTCCATGACTTCTAGGCATACACATTGTCTACAACATATGATCTCTAATAGCAAAACCCCAAAGCTATACACATCCACCTTTGCTGTAACTGGCTTGTTTCTAAACCATTCAGGGCAACATACCCTTTCGTCCCTCTGATCGCAGTAGTTGTTTGGGACTGATTTAAGTCCAACAGCTTCACCAAACCAAAATCAGAAATACGAGGATTAAGATCGTCATCAAGTAGTATGTTCTGGGCCTTGATATCGCAGTGAATGATCTGGGAGCTGCACTTTTCATGCAAATACAAGAGCCCCCTTGCAATTCCTAAAGAAATTTGAGCCCTGGTTGTCCAGCTTGGTCTCATATTACCGAACAGATGATCTGCTAAGGTATGGTTGCTCATATATTCATATACAAGTAACCTCTGATCTTTCTCTTTGCAAAATCCTACAAGCCGAACTAGATTCCTGTGGTGAGTTTGGCCTATCACATTTACTTCATTTTTGAATTCCTTATCCGCATCATTGAATATTCGATCCAACAACTTTACAGCAACATGAATTGGAGAATCTTTCTTACCTATTATGCCTTTGTAAACTATACCAAAACCCCCTCTTCCTAGTTCTTCCTTGAACTCTTTTGTTGCCTCTTCAAGCTCTTGGTAGCTGAAGCAATGGACATTGCTGTATTCCTTAAGCCTTTTACTAGTTCTGACATCAACCTCTTGTAGCTGCATCTTCTTGTGTATAAAGTAGAATCCCAAACCCATGGTACTCAATAGAAAGAAATTAACAGAAATAGAGCCACCTAACAGAACTGAAACAACAGCATTGAGTGGGTTGGTATACGAATAACCGTTGCCTACCTTAAGCCATGCGATTCTAGTCACTCTACTGCCATTCATCCCATTGAAGAGGGGTGTCTTCTTTTTCCAACACATTTTTGTGCTTCGTTCATAAATTACAGCAGCACAAAAGCAATTATCAAAACAAAAACTCTGGCAGGACTTTTCACTACAAGGACTAAGTATGGCATAATCAGCCTGTGGCCAATCTGTATATTGTAGCTTAATTAGCTTATATTTACCCTTTGCCGTTTCTTCACACTGATCCATCTGGAAATCTGGTTTGCAGCTGCTGAACATGTCATGAGGATCTATTGGAGAATAATTTGGTGGACATCCACACCTTGGTCTGCGATCTTCACCGATCCAGCAAATGCTGTTATATCCGCAAGCTCCACTGCCAACTTTTGAGCCGCCAAAACTGTCACAAATATTGTCTGGAATCAATTTTGTTGTTGACCAAACAACACTGCTTTCCTTGGTAAAAGTTCTTCGGTGGTAATACCAGGTGAGAACTCCATCAATATCAAGAGTCATTCTGTGATAGTAATTTTTGGCTGGTTTTAACTGATTTGGTGTGAGATAAACCTTTGCGCCATTTTTTTGGAGGATAAACATATGCCCTGATTCCTCATAAACCACCTTCTCACCCGAGTTGGTGTGACTCTCATAGTAGTAATAACTATAATTGTAGTTTGTAGCTGGGTCCCTGGTATTAAGCACGAGCTTCCCATCATTAAGGAAACACATTTGAAACCTCCCTGTTGTGAAACTAGTTTTTGATAACCGAGAATTAACCACCAAATTTGAGTCCATGACCTGAGTTGGCAGCAAGGTGTCTGTAGGATGCGCAAAGCTTTGCCATATTATCTCATTGGCTGTGCTTCTCTTGAGGGCAAAATTTCCGGTGTCATTCATAAATCCGTAGCCTACAAAACCAGACAACTCATTCAAGGTACTCCATAGCTGACTGCCTCTTGGATCACTGAGGACTAATCCCTTTTCAGCAGTTAGTGTTAATGTCGATCCTTGGGGAACGGGGTTACCTTCATTTGCATGCCAGACAACTGTGTTTGGGATCTTTGCATACCAAATAGCAAGCAAAAACTGATTTTTGGTGTTGGGTAATAGATGAAAACCAAAGGCAAAATCATCTGAAGGTGAAAGCCATGAAGGGCTATTTAGGTTGGCTGACAAAGAGGTGCCAACCGATATGTTGCCACCACTTCCGTCAGCAATAACGGATGATTGCAGGAGGATTAGTGTAGAGAAGGCTAGGTGAATAGATAGAGCCCAAACCATTTGCGAAACTATCTGGAGCATTGCTGATTTTTACAAGCAGTTGGGGAACATTGATTGTATATCTGTATGCCAGAATCTTATTCAACTCCAGAGTCAAACAAGTCTTCCAAATTAGTTGAAAAAATTACTTGAAGAAAATGCTTTGTGGTCCCTGCCGTTACCTTCAAGTTCTAGTGCCGTCCCCTAAACAAAAAAAATCTAAGTGCCGTCTTCGGCTTATCCCTCAATGTTAATGTTGATTAGCTGATTTTTCATTTTTCACACATCTATGCCTCCCTTTCTGAAGAACCTTCATGGTAGTCTCATCAAAAGTCAAGTCTTTATTGCCCCACTTAGGAACACTATTTTTTCTTTTGTCAGGCTAATTGATTTTATTTTCAAAATTGTGGTTGAGTACTAAACAAAACTTGATCAATTATCGTGGTTTGACAGATGTTATAGTAGAAAGATAAGTTTTGCTGTGACCACAACTAGCAATGTGGGTGTTCACTTCGTTTTCTGGAATGTTTTATTTATTTATTTGTTTAGTAATTACTCTGAGAGAAGGATCTTAGGATGAAGTGGAAGCATGAAGAGAAAAACCTTGACTTAAAACACTGTAGAATAAGATAGGACTTGTGTACTTGATATGTTAGTTTTTGAAATTCTGGGTCGAATTTTCTTGTTTGATATGTCAAGGGTGAATGGAGAAGAATTCACGTGGATGACACATGGAAATGACATCTTGTTCATGTAGCCAACTCCATCCTTGCGGGACAAAGGCTATAATATTATACTTGTAGTTGTTGTTTCTTCTTGGATTCATCAGGTCTCATTTTTCCCAATCATTAGCTACTTTGTCCGTCTACTTTGCTAGTTCATTGTGTGGTTTAAATAATAGCTAAAGTCTAAAGAGGTTGTGCTGCTACTAAGGCGAAGTTGTGAATTCAATCATTTTATATGAACAGTAGAGCACTAATATGTGATCTTCAGAAAGATTTTCTGGATACTTAGCTTCCTGCAAATATTCTCAACTGAGTCCTTTGTTTTCTTGGTTGTGCAGTGAGTTTATACTTCTGTAACTGTAAAAATACAATTTGCAGATGAAGAGGGGGTATATGGTTAAGCTATATGTCTCAATTTTAAAGGCTCTCCATTTGGATAAAGCTGGTTTGAATGTTTATTTCAACATTCATACATATGCTAAGCGTCAACTTTCTGTGTTGATTATTTCTGTGGTTCAGGTTGCTAAAAGGAGGAGATTCCCAGGATGTGAATTAGTGTCTCCTTCGGCGGTATGGATACCATTTCAGTAGAAACTTCATGCCTGTCTGCTGTTGGAAGTTCTCTCTCACCAGTCACCAGTAAGTCTTAATGATCTTAGCGCATTTTTTTTTTTTCAATTCACAATTGCTGTATATACCACAGGTTGACATAACGAGGTCTTCAGTTATGGCACAAATATAGTAATAAAACTAATATGCACATCATGGTTAAGGACTTTAGGACTTTAGGTAGATCATTAACTCCTACATTCCTTCAAACACTAGGATATTGCTTAAAGCAGGTTTCTGGGGAAATGCACTTACTAATTTTGCTACTGAAATCACAAAGTAAATTTATTTCTGTGGAAATCATTCATAACCACACCAATAGTTGAAATCAGGTTTACACCATGAAACTAAATTTTACATTTAAAAAAAAAAAGTGATCAAGATACATTATCAGGGGCCTTTTGGGCTGTTTTAATGTTGGGTAGTAACTGAAAATGAGGTAGGCCAAGGAGGGTTATTAGGCACTTCAGCAAGTCCTTCTAGCATCTGTGTGACTGTTCGCATTGTTGGTCGTAGACTTGGATCTTCTTGGATGCACCAAAGGGCAACCAATACAAACCTCTTCAACCGGATCATGTCCTTAAGTGCCTCCATGTCATCATTGACTAGTAGATCTAGTTTATTTGATAGGTAGCAATCAAATGCCCAATCTGTCAAGATTGCTGCTTCCTCTTGAACTAGCTCCATACATACACTCTTTCGACAACATATGATCTCCAATAAAAGAACCCCAAAGCTATAGACATCTACCTTCACCGTGACTGGTTTGTTCCTGAACCATTCTGGAGCAACATAGCCTTTGGTCCCTCTGATTGCTGTATTTGTATGGGTTTGATTTAGAACCAAAAGCTTTGCCAACCCAAAATCAGAAATACGAGCATTATGATATTCATCTAAAAGTATATTCTGGGGCTTTATATCACAATGAATGATTTGGGTGCTGCACTCCTCATGCAAGTATAATAGCCCCGTAGCTGTCCCCTGAGCAATTTGAACTCTATCTATCCAGCTTGGCCGCATTTCATCAAATAAATAATCAGCTAAGTTACCATTGCTCATATATTCATATACTAACAGCCGCTGATCCCCTTCCTTGCAAAATCCTACAAGCTGTACTAGATTCTTGTGATGTGTCTGACCAATGACATTAACTTCTGTTTTGAACTCTTTGTCAGTGTCGGACGATACTCGATGTAACTTCTTAACAGCAACACAAATTGAAGGACCACCTCCTCTGATCGTGCCCTTGTAAACTACACCAAAAGCCCCTCTTCCCAACTCTTCCTTAAATCCATAAGTTGCCTCATTTAGCTCTTGGTAGCTGAAATAATGGACGTGACTATACTCTCTCAATGTTTTCTGCTGGCCCTCATTAGACACTTTCTGTTGCTTCTTATGACAAATGAAGAAAATTCCGAAACAGATTGCAATTAAAAGTAGTAAATTAACAGAAACAGAGCCACCAACCAGAGCTTTATTTAGATATTTCTCCTTGTTTTTTGTTGTTGAAGGGGGTAAGGAAACAAAAGTACTGATTGAACTATTGGAAATACTAACATTTCCAACTTTTATCCAAGCAGTCCCGATTACTGTGCTGTCTCTTCTTCCGTTGGACAGTGGTGCCTTCTTTTTCCAACAACCTGCAAGATTATTTACATCCCCGAACATGGCTGCAGCACAGAAGCAGTCTTTCAAACAAGAATTCTTACAGTCTTCTTCGCTGCAAGGATCAAGCCTTTCATAATCATTCCATGGCCAATCAGTATTTGGAAGGGGTACTAATCTGTACTCACCCCTCATGGATCTCTCAGCATATCCTTCACAACTCTCTAGCATGAAATCAGGCTTACAGCTGCCAAATGTATCATTAGGATCTAGAAATGAGTAACCTTTTGGGCATGTACATGTCGGCTTTCTATCATCACCAATGCTGCAAATGCTGTTAAACCCACAGATTCCACTGCCTACATCTGCTCTGAAATTTTGATTAGTGATACAAATATTTTCTGGTAATACGTGCGTCGTTGACCAGACATTGCTGATGGTGGCTTTTGGGATAGAATACCATGTTAACACCCCATCAAATGTCAAAGTTACTCTCTGATAGCTATCTTTTGTTGACTGCACCATTTTTGGCGGCAAGAGATCTTGCCTGGACCCATTCTTTCTTAAAATAAACATGTACCCAGATTCATTATAGACCAATCTCTGACCTGAAATTGTCGGGTTTTCATTAGTGCCACTAGTGTAGTAAGCACCATAGGCAAAGCCAGTTGTTAGATCCCTGGGATTGAGGACGAGGTTTCCGTCAGGCATCAAACGTAACTGGAACCTCCCCTTTGTAAAATTAGTTCTTGATAGCTTAGCGTTAACCTCCACATTTGTCTCCATAACCTGAGAAGGCAGCAAAGTGTCTGTAGGATGGTCAAAGCTCTGCCAAACTGGATTGTTGCTGCTACTTTTGAGGGCGAAATTCCCAGTATCATTCATGTAGCCATACTTTACCTCACCTCCGTCACTTAGCTCATCAGAGGTGCTCCATAAGTTGATTCCGTTAGGATCACTGAGAACTAGTCCCTCGTTAGCTGTAATCTTGACTGATGATCCTTGAGGAACAGGATTACCATCATTTGCATACCAAACAATGGTGCTGGGAATCTTAGCATACCAGATGGCAAGCAAGAAGAGATTGCTGCTGTTTGAAAATTTGGAAAAGCCAAAGGCGAAATCGCCGGAAGGGGAATGCCATGAAGAGTTATTGGTGGCAGCTGATAGAGATTTTCCTACTGGTATATTGCCTTTATTTTGGGCAGCGATAGGTGATGATTGTAGGAACATTAGTGTTAACAAGGAGAGAGTGCAAGAAAGAGGCCAAGCCGCCATTGCTTAGATAAGTATTTGGAGCAATAGGTGGTGTGATTTTATGAATTTATGTCACTGAGTTATATATTGTAGCATTATTGAAATTTAAACAGTGAGTCCAAGTCAATATTTACTTGATTGAAAAGTCAGTCTATGGAGAAGCCTCAATTTCTAAGAGCTTTTGACTTTTGAACAACTAGAATAAATATTTGTAAAATTAATTTTAAAGTAAAAATCACTTTATAGTAGTGAAAAGACATGATGGAAGTTAAAGCTAGGATTATGATATAGAGATCAAGTTGGTTCTTATAGTTTTAATGCTTGTGAGGTACATGTTGTCTTTAAAAATTCATAAAATTGATTAATTAATCGTTAGTTTCACACTGAGTTAATTAAATAATTTGAATATAAAGTCTTAAGTTAGTTAGAGTGACATTAAATCCAAAGACTGAATATAATTGAGTACCCTTGTTAAATGTAGTAGAAGACTAGAAGCAACCGAGAAAGAACATCTGGATTTTTTTAGTCAACTTGTTTATTATAAAAATAAAAAGATTTGCTTTTTAGTGCCTTTTTTAATTTGCTGTTCTATTTTATCAGTAGTTGACTGGAAAATTCTTATAAAATTATAATGTCATCACCCATCAGGGATCTTGTTTACCAGTTACCACCACCAACCGCATCATGGTGTAAAGAAAATAATACTACTCGTGAGTCGTGACACGGCTGCTAACACCAAACAGCGTAACAAAGTTAGAACTTGTGTTACTGACTCTTAACCTTTGTTCCACAAAGTTCTTCCTCCTTAAGTACTTGCATTTACATTCAACTTCATTGGTATGTAGATCTGTAGTATGTATCTGGGTAGAAAATTGTCGAACGGAGGGAGTTGTAATAATACGTACACTTATAGTTTTTCAATGTGTGACACATGACGTTTATGCATGCTAACCTTGATAATTTTTTTTTGATTCAGCCGTTCAGATGATGCCAATGCAGAAACAAGCAGCACGTATTATGTTCCTTGTGAAGCAGAAATCTGTACCAATATTTCCTCAGAAGAACCTCATGCATTAACTCAGCCAGTCAGTATTACAAGTGTAAGGAAAGCTAATTACAACACTATTATGGCCTATTTTATTTTATTAAATGTGACAACATTGTCCGAACATCATACAATAGTGTTCCATGACGGTTGTTTTTGGATGGAGTGAGTAAAGATTTCAAATTTTAAGTACATTGTATCAGATGAATTTCGTTAACTTAACATTTTTCTTGCTTGTGGACCACGATGTTTTTTAAAATATGCTAATGTGTCTTTAAAGAGTCTTCTTAATAGCTTATCTTCTTTTATTGTGTATTTATATATTGTGGTTCAGATGGTGACGAAGTCGATTCAACGATGGGCTGCCACCAGTTTAATATTCTTGACCAAAACTTTTGGTTGAGGAGGAAATCACCTATATGCGTACAACTCCTTGGGCGAAGAAACTTCATGTTGAATAAGGTAATTCATTTTGGTAAAAATATTAACTCATCTTCTGAGTATTTATAACTTTTAGTCTTCTAATGTGCAATAAATAAATAGCCGGACTTTTCTTCTTGATGGGTAGGGTATTCTAAGGAGAAAAAAAATAGAGGTCAATTAGAAAATAATAAAGCCTAGAACAGTAGAACTGTTATAAAAGGCATGGTGGTTTCTAGCCTTTTTCTTTGGTTTTACTTAAAATAGCAAAAGTAGACACAGGAAATAGTTGGGTTAATGTCGAGCTTTTATGAAACATTTTATAAGACAAATCACAATAATGTTATCATTTAATAAATGGGTTATGTACTTGTGTCCTTAATTTTTAGCTTTATAGGAATTGATTCTATTATGCTATATAAAACAAGTAGACTTCAAAAAAAAAAAAAAAAAAAAGGGATGTTTTGGGACATAATTCAGTCACACCATTGGTTGATAATGTTTACACAACAAAACTAAAGAAATCAAAATAAATGTAACCAGAATAAAAACATACTGTATATAAGGATTTTTAATTTTGGATAGTAACAGAAAATGAGGTTGAACAAGGTGGGTTATTAGGCACTTCAGCAAGGCCAGCTAGCATCTGCGTGACTGTACGCATAGTCGGTCGTAGACTTGGGTCTTCTTGGATACACCAAAGGGCAACCATTACAAACCTCTTCAATCGAATCATATCCTTAAGTGCCTCCATGTCGTCATTGACAAGTTGGTCTAATTTATCTGATCGGTAGCAATCAAATGTCCAATCTGTCAAGATTTCTGCATTCTCTTCAACTATACGTACACTCTTTTGACAACATATGATCTCCAATAGAAGAACCCCAAAGCTATAGACATCTACCTTCACTGTGATTGGCTTGTTCCTGAACCATTCTGGAGCAACATAGCCTTTAGTCCCTCTAATTCCCGTGTTTGTATGGGTTTGATTTAGAACCAAAAGCTTTGCCAAGCCAAAATCAGAAATGCGAGCAATATGATATTCATCTAAGAGTATATTCTGGGGCTTTATATCACAATGAATGATTTGGGTGCTGCATTCCTCATGCAAGTACAATAGCCCTGTTACTGTCCCTTGAGCAATTTGAACTCTATCTATCCAGCTTGGCCTTGTATCACCGAACAGATAATCAGCTAAGCTGCCGTTGCTCATATATTCATATACTAACAGCCGCTGATCCCCTTCCTTGCAAAAGCCTACTAGCTGTACTAGATTCTTGTGATGTGTCTGGCCAATAACGTTAACTTCTGTTTTGAACTCCTTATCAGTGTCAGCTGATATTCGATCTAACTTTTTAACAGCAACACAAATTGAAGGACCTCCTCCGTTGACCATGCCCTTGTATACTACACCAAACGCTCCTCTTCCTAACTCTTCTTTGAATCCGTTTGTTGCCTCATTCAGTTCTTGGTAGTTAAAATAATGGACATGATTATACTCGCTCAGTGTTTTCCTCTGGCTCTCATTTGACTCTTTCAGTTGATTCTTATGATAAATGAAGAAAACTCCAAAACCAATTGCAAGTAAGAGTAGTAAATTAACAGATACTGAGCCACCAAGCAAGACTTTGGTTGGAGTTGTCATTTTGCTTTTCCTTGTCATAGGAGGGAAGGTAACATTAGGGTTGAGTGGATCGTTGGACTTGTTAACATTCCTTACCTTTAACCAAAAATTCCGGCCTATGAAACCGTCGGTTACTCCATTTAGAAGTGGTGCCTTCTTCTTCCAACAACCAACATCTTTGCCAGATAGCTCGAACGAAGCACCAGCACAGAAACAATCTTTCAAACAAGAATTCTTGCAATCATCTTCATTTCTAGAATCAACCCTTTCATAGTCATTGAAATTAAAATCAGTGTTTAGAATTTGTACTATGCTATACTCACCCTTCATTGTTCTTTCGGCATAATCTTCACAATCCACAAGGTTGAAATCAGGTTTACAGCCATCATATTGAACATTTGGATCCGTGAGAGAGTAGCCTTGTGGGCATGTACACGTATGCTTGTTGTTATCACCTAGGATGCACATGCTGTTAGATCCACAAACACCAACACCTAAATTTTGTGCAGCTCGTACAGCTAATTCTTTACATATGTTTTCAGGTGCTACTTGAAATCTGGACCATCCGTCACTAATTGAAATTTTTGAGGAAGAATACCATATTAAAATCCCATCAGAGCTCAAGACTAATCTTTGATGTTGATCTTCTGTAGGTGTGTAACCATCCGGTAACATATTATACATCGACCCATTTTTTCTAAGTATGTACATGTACCCGGACTCATTGTACACATATCTTTGAGTCTGACCTGGATTTGCTGCATCACTAATATAATAACCACTGTAGGTATAGCCGGTACTTATGTCTCTGGTACTGAGTTCCATGTTTCCATCTGTGGTCAGATGGTATTGGAACCTTCCCATCGTATAATTAGTTTCTGATAGTCGAGAATTAATCATTCCATCAATATCCAAAGACTGACCTGGCAGCAAGGTGTCTGTAGGATGATCAAAGCTCTGCCAAACGGGAATGCTGTTGCTGCTTCCTTTTAGTGCAAAATTTCCTGTATCATTCATGAAACCGTAGCTCACCCGACCACCATCAACTCTTAACTCGTTAGAAGTGTTCCATAAGTTGTTTCCTTGTGGGTCAGTAAGAACTAACCCTGTATCAGCAGTTATCTTTACTGATGAACCTTGGGGAACTGGATTACCATCGTTTGCATGCCAAACAATGGGGTCCGGAATTTTGGCATACCAGATGGCAAACAAGAATAGATTGGCTTTGTTAGGAAGTTGATGAAAGCCAAAGGCAAAATCTCCCAAAGGTGAAAGCCATGAAGAGCCATTGATGGCTGTGAGAGATCGGCCAACTGATATATTGCTACTATTTTGGGCTGTAACAGGGGATGGTGTTGATTGTAGGAGTATTAGTGTGAATAAGGAGAGGGTACAAGAAAGAGGCCAGGCCATTGCAAATTTCTTGCACAAGGAATAGGAGTATGGGACTATAGGAAATGGAGTTGGATATTTGCATTATAGTGTTTTATAACTATGTTAATGAACTGGTCACAAAATCTGTTAAAGACCAACTTTGAATAAGGTTTAGTGATCGTTAGTTGATATAATAATTTGAATATGTAAAGTCTATTGTAAATGTGAGTGACTTAAATTCTAAAGACTAAAAATAGTTGAGTACGCTTGTAAATTTAGAAGTAACCGATAAACATCATCTTGCTGGTTCTTTTAGTCAAATTGTTTAGAAAATTTGTGTTGAATATGTCATTCATTTTGGTAAATTTGTTTGCTCGTCTTCTGAGCATTTATTGCTTCTACTATTCTGATGTGTAAAGAATAAGTGGCCGGATTTTTCTTCTTTGTGGGTAGGGTATTCTAAAGAAAGAATAGGTCAAGAGAATACTAAAGCCTAAAATTGTTGTAAAAAGCGTGGTGATTTCTATCCTTTTCTCATGCTATACTACCAAATAGTAAAAGTTGACCCGACATGAACAAAACACGAAATAATATGGTTAGTGTCTAGCTTTTATGACCCGTTTATAAACATGAATTACATAATGTGTTAGCAGCCGTAGTGTTGAGGTTTAATTATAATCTGGAATTGATGCTATTAAGCTATATGAAAAAACAAGGTAGATGTTTGTGGACATTATACAGTCACACCATCAATAACGATTTACATTTTATACCATGAAACTAAAGAAAATAAAATGAATCTAACCATAATACATTTTATCTGAGGAGTTTTAGTATTGGGTAGTAACTGAAAATGAGGATGGACAAGGAGGGTTATTAGGCACTTCAGCAAGGCCGTCTAGCATCTGTGTGACTGTTCGCATTGTTGGTCGTAGACTTGGATCTTCTTGGATGCACCAAAGGGCAACCAATACAAACCTCTTCAACCGGATCATGTCCTTAAGTGCCTCCATGTCATCATTGACTAGTAGGTCTAGTTTATTTGATAGGTAGCAATCAAATGCCCAATCTGTCAAAATTGCTGCTTCCTCTTCAACTAGTTCCATACATACACTCTTTCGACAACATATAATCTCCAATAAAAGAACCCCAAAACTATAGACATCTACCTTCACCGTGACTGGCTTATTCCTGAACCATTCTGGAGCAACATAGCCTTTTGTCCCTCTAATTGCCGTGTTTGTATGGGTTTGGTTTAGAACTAAAAGCTTAGCCAACCCAAAATCAGAAATACGAGCATTATGATATTCATCTAAAAGTATATTCTGGGGCTTAATGTCACAATGAATTATTTGTGTGCTGCATTCTTCATGCAAGTACAATAGCCCCGTAGCTGTCCCCTGAGCAATTTGAACTCTATCTATCCAGCTTGGCCGCATATCACCAAATAGATAATCAGCTAAGCTACCATTGCTCATATATTCATATACTAACAGCCGCTGATCCCCTTCCTTGCAAAACCCTACAAGCTGTACTAGGTTCTTGTGATGTGTCTGACCAATAACGTTAACTTCTGTTTTGAATTCTTCATCAGTGTCGGATGATATTCGATCTAACTTCTTAACAGCAACATAAATTGAAGGACCTCCTCCGTTTACCATGCCCTTGTAAACTACACCAAAAGCTCCTCTTCCCAACTCTTCCTTGAATCCGTTTGTTGCCTCATTCAGCTCTTGGTAGCTGAAATAATGGACGTGATTATACTCGCTCAGTGTTTTTCTCTGGCTCTCATTTGACTCTTTCGGTTGCTTCTTATCATAAATGAGGAAAATTCCGAAAGCAATTAAAAGTAGTAAATTAACTGATACAGAGCCACCAAACAGAACTTTGATCGGAGTTGTCATTTTTCTTTTTCTTGTCACAAGAAGATTGGTAACAAAAGGATCATTGGACATGTTAACGTTGCCGACCTTTATCCAAAAACTCTGGTTGATTGAACTGTGTTTTCTTCCATTGAAAAGTGGTGCCTTCTTCTTCAAACAACCAGAATCATCGCCAGAGAAAGAAGCAGCAGCACAGAAACAGTCTTCCAAACAAGAACTCTTGCAATCTTCTTCGCTTTTAGAATTAACCATTTCATAATCATTGTAAACAAAATCAGTATTTTGAAGTTGTACTAAGCTATACTCGCCCTTCATAGATCTCTCTGCATTATCATCACAAATCTGAAGCTTGAAATCAGGTTTACAGCCACCATATTGAACATTTGGATCGGTGAGCGAGTAGCCTTGTGGGCATGTACACATTAGGGCGTGGTTACCACCTATGGTGCACATGCTGTTAGACCCACAAAGTCCAATGCCTAAATTTCTTTCAGCTTTTTCCATACACAAATTACTAGGAACTACTTGAAATCTTGACCAGCCGCCCCTATTTCTTGCTTTTGGGGCGGAATACCATATTAAAATCCCATCAGAGCTCATGATTAATCTCTGATATTGATCTTGTGATGGTGAGTAACCATCTGGTAACATATTATACATCGATCCATCTTTTCTTAATATGTACATATGCCCGGACTCATTGTACACATATCTTTGAGCCTGACCTTCATTTCCTGGGTCACTAGTATGATAAGCACCATAGATGTAGCCGGTACTTAGATCCCTGATAAATTGAGCCATGGTTCTATCCAAGGTTAGATGGTATTGGAACCTTCCCATCGTATAGTTAGTATCTGATAGTCGAGACTTAATCATCTTACCAAGTTCCAAAGACTGACCAGGCAGCAAGGTGTCTGTAGGATGATCAAAGCTCTGCCAAATAGGAATGCTGTTGCTGCTTCCTTTTAGTGCAAAATTCCCTGTATCATTCATGAAACCGTAGCTCACCCAACCACTATCACCATAAATCTCGTCAGAGATGTTCCATAAGATGGTCCCTTGAGGATCAGTAAGAACTAAGCCTTCATTAGCAGTTATCTTTACTGATGAACCTTGGGGAACCGGATTACCATCATTTGCATGCCAAACAATGGTGTCCGGATAATTGGCGTACCAGATGGCAAGCAAGAAGAGATTGCCTGTGATAGGAAGTTGATGAAAGCCGAAAGCAAAATCTCCTGAAGGGGAAAGCCATTTAGAGCCATTGATGTTGGCTGTGAGAGATTGGCCAACTGATATGTTGCTGCTATTTTGGGCTGCAACAGGGGATGGTTTTGATTGTAGGAGAATTAGTGTTAACAAGGTGAGGGTATAAGAAAGAGGCCAGGCCATTGCAAATTTTTTTGCAAAAGCACAAGGGATGGGACTATAGGAGTTGGAATACTAGCAGTATAATGTTTTTATGTAAATTCAACTAAGTTAATGAGCTGATAAAAAAATCTGTTAAAGACCAACTTTGACATATGATGTTAGAATCATCGTTGGGTTATATAATAATTTGTATGTAACATAACTCCAAATTCTAAAAAAAGTTAAGTACCCTTGTTAAATTTAGTAGAATTAACCGAGAAAGAGCATCTAGATGGTTCTTTTATTCAACTTGTTTATTACGTAGTATAAATATGAAATCATTTGCTTTCTATTACTAAAGTTCAACATGAAAATTAGTCGATGTATAGTGGCGGACCTAGAAATTTGACAATGGGGGACAATTTCGATAATTTAACTAAAAAAAAAAACGGGTACACAATCATCCTATTTAAAAAAAAACGGGTACACAATACAAGTAATTTGGGTTTGGTTGGGAAATAGGAATGAAGGAGTAATCGAGTGGTATGCTTGAAATAAAACACCCCCCCAAAAAAGGAGTGATGTTACAATGGGGATTCGAATGTCATATTATCTTGTGATGTTAATTTCTTAGTAAACATTTGCCGAAATGCTCGCTGCACTTCGTGACTCGTGGCCGCGTGGGTGGTGGTTCGTGCCTCGTGGTTGGGAAATAGGAATAAGGGAGTAGTCGAGTGGTTTGGTTAAAACAAAGGAATTTTTTATTTTTACCACCTCTAAAAAACAACTTAATTGTTTTTACCACCTTCATAATATGGTGACACATGGACATGATAGATCCCACTAACGGATTTATGGACAGAATCCGTTAGTTGGAGGTGATTGGTGGTGGTAGAAGCCAATTTTTTTTTTTTTTTATGTGGCCGTAAAATAAAACTTTATTTTTATAGAGGTGTTAATACCAAATTTTTCGTTTTTTGCAAAAAAAAGGAATGATGTTACAACTTATAAGGGGGATTCGAACCCTAATCTAGGTAAACCTGAAATTGGGCCCCTTGATATTTTGTTTCTAGCCCACTACCAACTTAGCTAAGGCAAACTTCTTGTTTATTCTTACACTCAATTTTATATAACTATTTTTCCAGTTTTATTTTTTTTTCCTAAATTTTTTTTTCTTTTTTTTTTTCCCGAAAGTGGGGGGACAATGGCCCCCCCTTGTTCCTTCATGGGTCTGCCCATGTCGATGTATTGATCTGTCATTGTCTCATGACCGTACGAATTACTTCTAGCGTATGTGATATACATTATACAGAGTCATAATAAAAAATAAAAGCACTATGTCCTACAATGTTTTCTGTAAGTGTTTTGCTAATTAAGGTTATATATTACCTCTTAATCTCTTAGTCAAGTATGCCAAAGTCTGATGGCATTGAACTAGTGACTAAACAAGGTCATGCGATTTGTTTTCTACTGTCTTCTTTGTACGTAGTGTATATGTTACATACTTTTCGTCTATATATACTTATATGGTTTGAATATCTTCTTCAATTCTTTTTTATTGTGGTTCATCAGATGGTTACGAAGACGATTCAATGATGGGCCAGTGCCAGCCTATTATTCTTGACCAGGACATTTGGTTGAATAAGAAACCACACATTGACGTCCAACTCCTTGGACGAAGAAACTTCTTGTTGAATGTGTCATTCATTTTGGTAAATTTGCTATCTCATCTTTTGAGTATTTATTGCTTCTAGTATTCTACTCCCTCCATTTTTAAATACTTGTTTCATTTCTCCATGCGCGAAGTTTTAGGAGAAATTAGATAAAGTAATAAAATATGGAGGAAGTGGGGTAGTTGAAAAAATAAAAAATTGTAAAAAACAAAAGTAGTGGAAGAATAGAAGGAGAGAGAGTATTATGTTGGGTCCACTAAGTGTGAGAAATGTATTAAATATTGTAAAAGCTTTCCATAAAAGGAAATGGAACAAATATTTAAAAACGACCGGAAAAGAAAAGTGGAGCAAATATTTAAAAACGGAGGGAGTAATGTGCAATCAGTGGCGTATCCAAGAATTCTGAACCGTGGGTTCGGAATCTTAAAAAACAAACAATGTTCATATATTAATTAAATATTCAATACATAAATTTTAATTTTTATTACAAATGGATGAATTATATGTTATAAAAATAATAATAAAAAAAAATAAATAGAAAAAAACCCCTACAAAAGCATTCTTCAAGTTTTCATATTTTGAAAGCGCGCTAATCTATAATTCTACTGCAAAAAAAATCAGTATTGCACATAAAACAAAAATCCCAAGTCCCTAATAAACACAAATTTGACGATGAAACTTTTTCAAATTATCAATTAAAAGACTGAGTAAAAATTTTAAATTCTAAGTTTCTACAATTCAATTTGTCAACAATTCAAGTATTCAACAATATATCAAAACTAATTAAACAAATCAGTAATTAATCTTATTATCACTAATTTACAAACAAATAAAGATTTGATAATTAAGAGAAGTAGAGGAATAAGAGGACTGTTGAAACTAATATGTACTAAAGGATAAAAATAATAATATTAGATAAGTATGAAGCCTTGCTACTTCTATTAATTACTCCCTCACCAATGCACTTGACTTACGTCTTTGGTTATTTATTTCACAAAAATTTGTTATAACCATTTTTTTTTAAAAAAATAAAAATAAAACTTATAATTTTTTTTTTTCCAAAAAATCTGTGGGTTCAATGAACCCCCTAGATCCTCCCCTGTGTGCTATGAATAGGTGGCCGGACTTTTCTTCTTTGTGGGTAGGGTATTCTTGTAGGGATCGGTAGGGAGTCACTACGACACCCACTATATCGATCATACACAAGACAATCAACTTAAATTCAATCCAATCAAACTAAACTCTCACACAATTTGAATAACACAACCAAGACAACAATTAAGCAGTAGCAAAACTGCAAAAGTATAATAACACCAACAATGATAGGAAGAAAAAACAATCATCAATGTAGCTGGCTACTTAGTCCCTTGTTTAGTTCAATTTATTTTTACTTATTTTAGAAAAAATAAGTTCAGATCCAATCATCGTTTTATGTGCAATTTTTTAACGCTAAATATGTTTAATTCTGCAATTAAAAAAATTATAAAAATCACATATTAATAAAATACTCTTTAATACGAATATGATAAGACCCACTTTTTTTTTTATTTTTTTTATTTTTTAGGAATGATTAGACCCACTTGATATACTCCCTTCGTTTTTAAATATTTTTTTTACTTTCTTTTTCTAGCTGTTTTTAAATACTTGCTTCATATTCTTACTTGAAAAGCTTTTATAATATTTAATCTATTTATCTCAATTAGTAGACCCAACATAAATCATATTTTATTAATTTCATATTCTCTCCTCCAATTTTTCTCCACTACTTTTGGTTTTTACAATTTTTTATTCTCCCACCCACCTCACTAGCACCATATTTTATTACTTTCTACAATGTCTCCTAAAACTTCGCGCATGGAGAAATATAGCTAGTATTTAAAAACGGAGGGAATATATTTTTTTCCTTATAAATTATTCTATGTATAAGGTCAAAGTTTGGTCAAATTTGACATTCAAATCAGACCAGATCAGATGAGATAAGTTAGGCCTTGTTTAGTTCACCTTATTTTTACTTATTTAAGAAAAAAGAAAAATAAGTTCAAATCATATTATCGTTTTATGTGCAGTTTTTTTTTTTATCGCTAAATATCTCTAATTTCGGGCCTGTTCTCATACGATTTTTAGTTCAGTTAACTCAGCTCAGCTCCTAATTTCCTTCTCTTATAAAATATTCATTTCAGTTTAGCTCTAATAAGTTCAGTTTAGCTCAACTCAGCTCATTTTAGTCAATGAATACAGGCCTTTCGTAATGAAAATAATTATGAAAATTACACATTAATAAAATACACATTATTACGAATCTAACAATACCCCACTTGATATATTTTAGATTATCGTATATTTCAGCTCAAATCTGACATTCAGATCAGATCAGATAAGTTCAGATAAGCAAAATTAAGGCGAACCAAACAAATCCTTAGTCATTTGCTTGCCACAAGATATCCCATCTAAAACTTCCAAGAAATGCCACAATAGTCATGCTAAATATGGACTAAAGATAAGACTTAACAAGTCCATGAAAAGAGCCCATAATACATGAGTCCAAAAGCAATATATAGGTATTGCAAATTGGGCCAGAACCATAACAATTTTAAGGGTAAAATAGATGAAGAGAATACTATAGACTCAGTAAAGCCTAAAACTGTTATAAAAAGCTTTGTTTCTAGCCTTTTTCTCAAGCTGTATTAAGACGTAGTAAAAGTTGAGCCAACATGAACCGAATATGAAATAGTTGGGTTAGTGTCTACACTCTAGCCTTTATGACCCATTTATATACATGGATTAGAAATTTTTATATTTAAAAAACTAAAAAGGATATATCAGATTTGATGCTATTAAGCTATATGAAAAAACAAGATAGACGTTTGAGGACAATTATTCAATCACATCACCGATAACAGTTTACACCATGAAACATAAGAAAATAATATGAATCTAATCAGGATACACACTTTGTCTGAGGAAGTTTAATACTGGGAAGTAACTGAAAATGTGGTGGGACAAGGTGGGTTATTAGTAGGCCTGGCAAACAGGTCATTCGGGTCGGGTCAATTCAGGTCAGGTCAAGTTCGGGTCAACAAATGTTCGGGTCGGGTTTGGGTCGAGTCGGGTTGACTCGGGTTTCGGGCCGAATTCAGGTCAGCACTTCGGGTCAAGTTCGGGTCAGGTCAAGTTCGGGTCGGGTTAAGTTCGGGTCGGGTTAAGTTCGGGTCGGGTCAATTCGGGTCGCGTCTTTTCGAGTCGGGTCAATATTTAGGATCAATTTTCGGGTCAATTTTCGAGTCGGGTCAATTTCGGTCGAGTCAACTCGGGTCGGGTCTATTCTGCTATTCGGGTCAAGTTTGTGTTGGGTCACCAAAATAAATTCACTTAAAAAAAATAGTTGGAAAATAAAGTTAAATCGTTAAAAAAATAAATAAATAAAATTGTGAGTACCTATTACTTAGAAAATAAAGAAGCCTTAAAACAAGTAATTAACCATTTCATCCTATTCTCTTATTATTCGGGTCAATCAATTCGGGTTAAAATTGGGTCGGGTCACTTTGGGTTTCGGGTCATTTCGAGTCGGGTCAAGTTCGGGTTTCGGGTCAATTTCAGGTCAGGTCATTCGAGTCGGGTCACTTCGGGTTATCGGGTCATGTTCGGGTCAACTCCATTTCGGGTCGGGTTCAAGTCGTGTCGGGTTATTTCGAGTTCGGGTCATTTTCGGGTCAACTTCAGGTTACGGGTCAGGTTATTCGGGTCGGGTCAATTGGGTCGGGTCAGGATTGCCAGGTCTAGTTATTAGGCACTTCAACAAGGCCAGCTAGCATCTGTGTGACTGTTCTCATAGTTGGCCGTAGACTTGGGTCTTCTTGGATACACCAAAGGGCAACCATTACAAACCTCTTCATTCGAATCACGTCCTTAAGTGCCTCCATGTCGTCATTGACAAGTTGGTCTAATTTATCTGATAGGAAGCAATCAAATGCCCAATCTGTCAAGATTGCTGCATTCTCTTCAACTAGTTCCATACATACACTCTTTCGACAACATATGATCTCCAATAGAAGAACCCCAAAGCTGTAGACATCTACCTTTACCGTGACTGGCTTGTTCCTGAACCATTCAGGAGCAACATAGCCTTTGGTCCCTCTAATTGCCGTGTTTGTATGGGTTTGATTTAGAACCAAAAGCTTCGCTAACCCAAAATCAGAAATACGAGCATTCTGATGATCATCTAAAAGTGTGTTCTGGGGCTTTATATCACAGTGAATGATCTGGGTGCTGCATTCATCGTGCAAGTACAATAGCCCCGTTGCTGTCCCCTGAGCAATTTGAACTCTATCTAGCCAGCCAGCTTGGCCTCAAATCACCAAAAAGATGATCTGCTAAGCTACGGTTGCTCATATATTCATATACTAACAGCCGCTGATCCCCTTCCTTGCAAAAGCCTACTAGCTGTACTAGATTCTTGTGATGTGTCTGACCAATAACATTAACTTCTGTTTTGAACTCCTTATCAGTGTCAGCTGATATTCGATCTAACTTCTTAACAGCAACACAAATTGAAGGACCTCCTCCGTTGACCATGCCCTTGTATACTACACCAAACGCTCCTCTTCCTAACTCTTCTTTGAATCCGTTTGTTGCCTCATTCAGTTCTTGGTAGCTAAAATAATGGACATGATTATACTCGCTCAGTGTTTTCCTCTGGCTCTCATTTGACTCTTTCAGTTGATTCTTATGATAAATGAAGAAAACTCCAAAACCAATTGCAAGTAAGAGTAGTAAATTAACAGATACTGAGCCACCAAGCAAGACTTTGGTTGGAGTTGTCATTTTGCTTTTCCTTGTCATAGGAGGGAAGGTAACATTAGGGTTGAGTGGATCGTTGGACTTGTTAACATTCCTTACCTTTAACCAAAAATTCCGGCCTATGAAACCGTCGGTTACTCCATTTAGAAGTGGTGCCTTCTTCTTCCAACAACCAACATCTTTGCCAGATAGCTCGAACGAAGCACCAGCACAGAAACAATCTTTCAAACAAGAATTCTTGC